TTTTTTGTCCCAGTCCAGCCCTGGGCACGACACGCAGTGAATTAATCTGAGAAGGTGCATCAAAAAATAAAGGGCCGCACCAGCGGTGCACACTGCAAATTGGGACTTTCAGGTGTATGGACCAATGTTTTATTTTCTGATCAAACCAGAGATCTTTAATGAGCAGCTGGATTTGTCTCGCATTAACTGGTTAAACTGTTAATAACAGTTAATGCGACATCGACACAGCTGGAATCCACAGCTGTGCGTGTTCATGGAGTTTGCATTTTCACCTGCTGGACATCACTACCTGACAAGTTTAACTGTCTTCAGAACATTGCAGAGGCCTTATTGACAGTATTTGGCTCTACATATCTGTGTGAGCAGATTTTCTCTCACATGAGTGTCCTCAGGTGTCTGAATGCTGGACACTCAGAGACCTGTGTCTCTGAGTGGGAGACCAGAGATCACATTAACATGTGTGTCTCTGTATTAACAAACATGCCATATTGGCTTAGTTTATTTTTCTTATCATTGTTGTGAGGAGACCATATATAGCATTTGTATTTTCTGTTGTACAGTTCATTTACTGTTATGCATAAAAACTGTCTTTTTTTTAGTTTCAAAATAGCTGATAACTATTCGCTGATAGCTGCTAACATCTGCAAACAAATATAATTATAGAAAGTGGTTCTATATAGTGTGTAACTGTTCCTATAGCGCATTATTAAATTTATTGCTAATGCAATCATATGGCACACTGACTTCTGAGGAAATTTTAAATGGCACTCCCCATCAGAAAGGTTGCCTACCCCTGGTCTAGAAAAACACCAAAATGTAAGAAACAGAAAATGCTGGGTCAAAATGACCCAGAACTGGACAGTTTGGTTTGAAACGGGTAATTAGTTCAAGTTTAGTTAACTCTTATTTATCACACGTTTAACATTGATATCCATATTGTGACTGCAGAATCATCATGTTCCTGAATTATGAAGAAAAAAAAAGTCACATGAAATAGGCCTGGCTGTGAGAGAACGATGAACAATCTTTCCAAACTTCCAAAGGAAGAGCTCCTTGTTTCCTTACATGAAGCAGATTTCCAGCTCAAAAATCGTTCGGCGTACGGCCGTCTTTCATTAGAGTATATGATATCTTCACTATGCAGTAGCCTACAGCTGGGCAGTGAAAGGAGCTGATATATCCTGTCCTCTGATCATGAACACACAAAACTGAATGAAGGTTTCAGTTTTGTGAACCTGACTCCAACTATCATCACTTTGAAGTTATTTATAATCTGTCAGAATGATAAAAGTCTGTCACTGAAACGTGAAGTGAACTCACACACTGGTGGAGAGCAGTAATCCTCGTATCCTGTGAAAGCACAGGAGATGTTGTCTTCAGGATAAAAGCGGTCTGTATAAGTAGAAGTTTGCTGTTTTGTGTTTTTCTGTCCGTTCTTGAACCAGACAAAAGAAAGACGACCAGCTGGACTGCAGCTGCTTTCACACTTCAGCTCTGCCTCAGTCTGAGACTCATGGACTGATATTATTCTGCTCACCTTCACCTGCAGAGCTGTGTAAAATTAAAGTATTCACATTGTTAAACAGTCAAACCACAAAGACACCAACAAGTAAATAATTAACAACACAAGATTCAGTTTGTAAAATTGAACTGAATGAAATTATGAGTCAGTGTGTGTTGATCAGTACCTGTGACAGTCAGAGTTGTTCCAGGTAAACTACTCTTCCATTCAAATCTTTGTGTTTTGAATTTGAAGTGATACTCGGCTGAATCACTCTCTGTCAGGTCTCTGATTCTCAGAGTGGAGCGTCCTCTCTCTGTTTCAGTCACCTCAGCACGATCTTTATACTGGGAGTCTTCTGTGAGGTCCTCAGATCCACGACCAGAACAGAACCAGGATTTTAATTGGATTGAACTTTCATAACTGTTGTAAGTAGAAGAAATGTCCACTGATGAGCCTTTGAATGCACAGATTCTTCTGTTGCTGTAATTCACTCTGTTGCATGAATCACCTCGGACACCTGAAACATAAAATGATTTTGAAGTCAGATTTAGAAAGTAGTTACTGTGAGTTTGACTGTTTTTATTCAGATGTATGTAGTGACTCTACAAGATGGTTTTATGTTACTGAAATAAACTCACACACTGAAGGAGAGGAGAAATCTTCATAACCTCTTACAGCACAGGAGTAGCTATCTGAAGGATTCAGATTGACTGAATACCAGTACTTGTTTCTACTAGAAACCTTGTGTCCATTTTTGTACCAGTTGTAGGAGGAATGATAATTTAGTCGACAACTGCTCTGACAAGTCAGTGTTGCCCAGTTGGAATTAGATGATCTGCCCACGTGTACCTGAAGAGCTGATTATGTGAAGAAATAATATCAGAAGAGAATTTTTAACATCTATTATCCATATGCAAACACACACAGTTATGTTCATAACAATTTCTGACTGATGTGTAAATAAAAATGTTACCTGTGACAGTCAGAGTGACTCCAGGTAAACCAGTAAAATTTTTCTGGTTTGTTTCAAACCTGAACCTGTACACAGCTGAGTCGCTCTCTCTCAGGTCTCTGATTGTCAGAGTGTAGTTTTTCCACTGAGAGCTGTACGACACTCGACCTGCATACACTGGGTCTGTTTTCAGATCTTCAGGATTATATTTGTTCCATTTAGTGAACCAAACTCTTTTTAACACATTTACTCTTGAAGGGTATTTGAAGGAGCAGCCTATGACCACTGTTGATCCTTTTACAGCACAGATCTGAGTAGAAGTGTAAGTCACTGCATAATCATTCTGACTCTGCACCACTGTAACACAGAACACATCAGAAACTAGATTAATGACAACAACAAACATATATTGTTTCAGTAAAAGTTCTGAGAACCTTTCCTCAGAATAAGCAGCACAGATTTATTGTTCCTGACATTTTTTATCATGCATATGGTATTAAGTATTTAGGAAGGTATTTTTGTTGCTGTTGTTCTTGGTGTTTACATATGAGAGATCATCTGTCCATTCAGAAATCTTCATCCAGTCAATTTCTGAGTGAGTTAATAATGTGATTTTTCTTTGAAAACAAGTCTTTGCAGGCTGTGAGAGTGTGAGTCAAAACAGTAAATACATCCATCCATTTGCTGGCAGGGGGCTTCAGCCTATACCAGCTGTCTTAGGACAAGAGGCAGGGTACACCCTGGACAGGTCGCGGGTCTGTTGCAGGACTAACACATAGACAGAGACAATCATTCACTCACCCACATTCACACCTATGGGCAATTTAGTGTTTCCAATTAACCTAACCCCACTAACTGCATGTCTTTGGACGGTGGGAGGAAGCCAGAGTACCCGGAGAGAACTCACGCAAACACGGGGAGAACATGCAAACTCCACACAGAAAGACCCCGGCCTGACAGTGGAATTAAACTCAAAACAGTAAATCAGTAAACCAAAAACAATAATGGTATAATAATAATAATGGTATCTGTGGGTTTGTTATTACAAATATAACAATTTGCATAATACATCCAGAAATATGACAAAAATGTTGTCAAATGTTGTCTATGTAAAATAAATTGCAGTGGCATGAAAGGGCCATTATATAGTGTAGTAAATTATTCAGGTGACATACAAATTTCGCTGTGTGCCTAGAATTGATCTCACAATATAATTTACAAAACATGTTTAGGAACCAGGAACCATCTGTTTGTACAAAAAACAAAGAAAAAAGAAAAGAAAAATGGCTGGGAATTCACTTTCTGTTTATCTGTTAGTTTCTGTTAAGAAACTTCAACCCAAGTTAGAGCAGCCTGAAAATTGTATTTGTCCATTAAATGCAGTGGAGACAATAAATAAAAAAAACTTTTCTACAATCTGTATTCAGTTGCAGTATTGGAAATGCAAACCTTTAACAGCTCTGTGCTGCAGATGGTGTGGTGTAAAAACCAATCAAAAACAGTTCAGTTGTGATCTACCTCAAGACTGACTTACTATTACAGAATTACCTGGCAGCGAGAGAAGGAAGAGAACCAATCCAGTTGCTGCTGCAGTTGAACTCATGGCTGCTCCTCTCGTCTCATAAATCCCATCAGCGGGTAGATTACATAACATGTAACATGTTGTAAACCAGCCACGATTTCTGCCAGTGTTGAAGATGCTGTCTCTGAAGACCGTGCTCTCTGTGGATGGAAAATGTAACAGAGCTATCTGGCTGTCTTCCTTCCTCTGTACATGCTTAACATGCATGAACAGACTTTAAACCTGTAAACCCCCCGCGCTTAAATAAAGAAGTGATTCTCTCACAACACTTTGCATGCAGCTTTATGTTCTTAAAATATCACCTTAAGAAAAAAAGGACTGCCTCTGATACAGGACTCTGCTGAGGACAATAGAAAACATTTTAACATGAGTCTTTTTGAAGACTTCAGGCCTGACTTTATTAATGACATTGATCATTTTGAAAACTGGGCCATGAATAGATTTTAATTTAATTTGTGTTCATGGGTTCAAGTTCAGTTTAAATCTCTTTAGAGCTGTTTTTTGTCCAGAAGGTAAATAATAACTGCTGAGTGTAATCCTAACAGTTCAGTAGTAGGACGGCTAAAAAGTATGCTAGGTATAGCTAATATACTGATAGAGTTTTAAATGACTAAAAAATGTGCTTTGGCAAGCTAGGCTAACCCTTAAAACAAGTTTAAGTAGGGATGTTTTGTTACCCCCACTTCTGTGTGTAGTGTGGCTGGTAAAAGTGAGGGTAAACAATACCCTGATGCAAAAAGGAAACAAAACAGAAAGAATCACTGTGTAATAAAGTGCCAAGCAAAGTTAAAATTGATGCAGCAAAGCTGATGGGAAACTGGGGATTGCATAAACTAGAGACTAGACTCAGACAATATTTAAAGATCTTCTGCCAGCGCTGTCACAGCCCCGCAGCCATGTGCCTTGCTTTCTGCCTTGAATTCTTTGTTATTATAATCAAGAGTGAGTTACTATGTTGTTATCTTGTTATTTCTCTGTAGGAAGTTTAGATTAAGATGCCACGTCAATACTTGCTATCTCACATATTGATGTGCAGTTTAAATATTGATGTGGTGGGAAAGAAGGTTTGCTGTGTCTCCCAGCA